AAAAAATAAATAAATAATAGTTTATGGCAAAAGTCATTATTCCATGATCTTTTTAAACATTTGTCAAGGACTGGGGATTTAGCTCTGTGGTTCTGCCGTCTGTCTCGCAAGTGCAAGGTCCTGAGTTTGATTCCCATTACCAAAAAAAAAGTCTGTCAAAACATTAAAAATTATCTTATATATGAATACGGGAATATAAAAAGTAAATAAAAATAAAATTTATTAAGTATACCATAATTTATAACATAAGAAACACTGAGAATATAAATGTTTGACTTCTTTTTAAAAATATAAGTTGGCCCAGGGATTTAGCTCAGTGGTTTCACCACCTGCTATGCAAGCGCAAGGATCCAAGTTCGAACCCTGGTACCAAAAAAAAACCCATCAAGTTATGGGCAACCAATGCCTGGGTGAAGTGAAATATTGCTATGTTTTAATCAGCTTCCAACATCTTATTGTTTGTATTTTCAATATCATGAGATACCTCTGTGAGTTCCTTTAATAATAACTAACTACATCACTTACTCTAGGACATGTCCTTTCCTTGTTTATGTCAATAAGTTCACTTTAAGTATATTCCTCTGGCTGTATATCTGGTCTCTTTTTTTTGTTTTTGGTACCAGGAATTGAACTCAGAGCCTTGTGCTTGCTAGGTAGGCACTGTACCACTAAGCTATATCCCCAGCCCTACATCTGGTCTCTTGAAATGCGGCTATGTCAGGATTCCCAAAGTCAGCTATTTTCCCATTGACACCTATTCAAATTTCACTTCCAACATTATCACTTTTGCTTTTCATCTTTCTTTTCCAATTCCCTTTAAAATGTTACAACATCTTATTAATGGAAACAAGGAAGCAACATAACTACATACTTTGCTGGTTGTGGATGGCATGAATAACAAATGCATAGTGACCAACCAATGGACACTGTAAGAAGAGATCTGATTTGTCCCTAGTGAATCCATAAACACAGGGATATTGGAAGAGTATAAAGTAAGAGATACCTGAAAGTAGCTACTGTACAAATCTGGCCATGAACACTAAAATTAAAGTAGCACTCTGAAATTAAACACTGCTATAGTTACCATTTTGTAGTCCCATCCAAAGCTGCTTGTGATCTTTTTTCTGCATTTCATTGATTACTTGGCTTTTATGCTTTAAAGCATCAGCTTCTTTCATACAAGACATAAAATGAGCTTCAATTGCATCCTTAGACGGACAGTGTAGAAGGTCCTTTTCTGGAAAACTCTATCAAAGGGAAAAAAATACACCTATGAATTAAGTCCACACATTACAAAATCACTCCCTAAAAACAAAACAGTATTTCCCAATTTTCCAATATTTGTATTAAGGCATCTTTTATAATAACCACATTGCTTTTTAAAATTAACTTTAAAATTTTTTAGCAATTTGACACATTTTTTATATTGTCCAAATGATCCATATATATATATATATATATATATATTTGTAAGAATACACAAAAGGAAGGATAACAATTTTAAAAACAGGCTTTCAACTGACCATACCACATGTTTCAAAAGATGTGGAATGGAAATCTCACATACTGATGGTGGAAATGCATAATGGTACAAGTACTTTGGAAAAATAGTTCAGCACACCTATTACCGACCCAGCCATTACATAATTAACTAACCATCTAAGAGAAATGAAACCATATGTTCACACAAAACTCTGTGTATGAATATTCACAACAGCTTCATCTGCAACAGTCAAAACCAGGAAACAATCAACAGATGAAAATGAATATATAAATTGTAGTATAAACTATTATTTGAGCATACTGTTTATTATTCATCAATTAAACCTCAACAAATCTGTTAAAAGTAGCTTTTAGGCTAGGCTTAGTGGTGTTATGCCTGACCTAAGTGAGACCCTCTCAGCAAATATGCAGCACTCCACAAACAATGAGATACCACTAAAGGGCCATACTGCCCTCAGTAAACAGAACAAATGGCCATAAAGAAAATTTAAGATAGGACATACAATCTCCCCAGTACCGAAAATCTATACACCTGCACTGACCATCCTTGAAACTTTGACCCCAAGCATTCCACGCAGATCCCTTAAAATTACAAACCTATCCCCAAACCTTGTAAAAACTTAACTTCTTCTCTGGCCAGCTGCTGAAATCATTCACGATCTCAGCCCTGTCTGCACCCAGGCAGAATAAAATCAACTTTACTGCTCACACAAAGCCTGTGTCCAGGTAGTTTCTCATGTACTGTTTGTAACAAGTGGCACATGCCTCTAATCCCAGCTACCTAGGAGGCTGAGACAGGAGGGTGGAAAGTTTAACACCATTCTAGGGAAATTTAGCAAGACCCAATTTCAAAATAAAAAGTGTTGGAGACACAGCTCAGAACCCTCTGGGTTCAATCCTCAGTACTACCAAAAACAAAAAACACAGCTTTTAAAGTTAAAAAAAAAAAACCAACCTATACTTTATATCCTATAAACTCACATATGATACATTACTTATATATTAACTATTATGTTCAAATGAATTAGTATTATTATGGTTATTTCTATTTAAGTTCAATTGTTTTTCTACTTCAAGTGTGTAAATCAACCTCTAAGACTTAAAAGTTCACTTAATTTAAAAAGTTCTGACATATTAGAAATATGAAACACAACTTTTAATATTTTCTAGAAAAGTTGACTGTGATACAGTATAACTAACCTATGAAAATGGTTTTCAATTTCTAAACATAAATATATACGGATTTTAATTGGTCAATTGAAAAAATAAAGTCAAGATGGAAATGCAGCTTGGTGGTAAAGTGCTTGCCTAGCATGCCTGAGGCCTTAAGTTCGACCTTAAACACTGTGAAAAACATACAATAAATAAATCCAAAATGGCCTTTCAGATACCATACAATTCTCTATGCCATTGATTTCATAATTGGGTTGCAAATGAGTAGCCGAAAATATGAATATTCATATTCCAAAAACAATCATTCAGGTAGCTTGATTTTTCACCTACTTAAGTATTGTTCAAATTTCTTAAATTTTGTACATAAGCTAACTAACTAGGTAACAAGGAGCTGAGATCTCTCAAAACAGGGTTGGAGAAGCCTAAAGAAAAATATTACTTTTGGAGTAACTTTTGCTTGGCCAGACTACTAATCCCAATGGTTCCTATAACAAAAAAGTGCTTTTGCTTTACTTTTTCAACCCTTCTGTTCCTCTGCAGCTTAATGAACGTCTAACACTTAAATATGACAGGTAACAATCACAAATGACTAGACTTCATAGCCAGAGGGTTCTATCAAAAGAGTGTAGATATATTTGTATATACCTACCCTTGAACACAAGCCCATCTCTAAGAAGGCAATGAATTCAGTAATGAAATGAAGCCTCAAGGATACAAGAGAAAGCAGTAAGAAAAAAGGGACAGATCCGCTTAGGCAGCCAAAGTCGTTCAATTAATTGTGGCAAAGAAAAAAGTGACATATCTCAGCCAAAGCCCCTCCACTCTTGCTCATGAATGCTCCCTCTTTCCTTGATTATCTTGAGGTGGGAGTGGAAATCTTTGTTTAAAAGCTTCACAATGATACCACAGACTCCTAACTCAGTACATTTCTAATCTTTTCTAATGTACATTAATTAGCCTTGCAAGTGCACATCTTTTTGACCCACATAAATTGTTGCAGATAAAGGTGTTGAGTCTGACACTATGTTTATTCACTTTCATTAATCTTCTAAGTCACACTCATGATAAGCTAAATCTAATTTCATTTTTAAAATAGTAATTTGAAAAGTTCTATTTTTAGAGATTATCATCTGTATCAGTTAGTTAAAATATCAATTCAGACTGACTGGAATGTGTCCAGATGCATTAAAACCATGAAACTAAAACTGTAAGTGAAAAACTAAAACTATTAATTATTCACAAGCTCAATTTAAAAAAGCATTCAATCTATGAGCAATATTGCAAGCTCAGGGTACTGTTAAGACAATGAGCAAAGCAAAAAATGTATTTTTCATGTCATTTATAAAGAATGTAATATCCAATTAAACATGCAGGGGTACCCAATAGAAACCAATTCAGCATGTACATAGAAAATGAGGCCATAGTTTAAAAGCTTACTTTAATAAAATCTTAAATTTTCTTCCAATAGTATTTTAATGTGTATACACTTGGGGATGGAAAGGAAGAAGACTTTTCACATATTTCTTCTGAAGTACTGTTTTCAGAATAAGAAAAGAATATATTATTAAAAAGCTAATAGAGGTTAACTGAACCAATGTTTAAAGCAATGAACCCAAACATTTCTTCAATTTTCTAATTCTACCAGTATGCAATCTATCAAATTACCTGGAATCAATCTTCTTCCTCCCACTAAAATGTAAGGATTCGCTCTCATCCTTTTTCTTAGAATCCATTGTTGAATCTTTGGAACCCAGATCAATTAATTACTCCTCTCCCTTCCCATAACAGCATCTTTAGCCACTTGCTCTCTGATTACTGTTTCCCATATTGTTCTTCCATTTTAAAACAAAACAACAGCTAACCAAAACCAAAAGCAAACCCCTTCCCTCTACCTCAGTCTTTCTTTGCCTACAGCCCTCTATCTCATCTCCCTTTTACATCTACCTTTAACTCAGAAAAGCCTCTTACCTCTTAACAATCCACTATGATCTATCGCCTACCTTCACCACTGTGTTATAACTGCTCTCTCCAAGATCAACAATGATGCATTTTAATCTTTGTCTGTTTTAAGTACTCACCAAGCATCTAACCCCTTTACTATCCTCCATGAAGAGCACATCCACAAGTTATCAACACTTCTTTTTTTTTTTTATCTTTTCTTAGCCTCTTTTGCCTCTTCCTCATTCTTTAAATATTGGTATTGTTTTACTTTCTAGCCTATACAAAAAGAGACAACTGCTTTTCCCCTCACCTACTCCTTCCTTCTCCTCAACTTCCATATCCAATCCAGATCTGTTGAGTTTAATCCTAAACAGATCTGAAATTCACTTGCTTTTCAGCATCCCCACTGCCACTTTCCTTGTACAGACTAAGATCTATTGATTGTTTCTGAAAAACCTCATGGCAGGGTACCATACCTAGTCTTAACCCCCTAATTCATTTTTTACTTTGGGAACCACAGTGATCCTCCGTAAATGCAAACCCAATTTCATTCCACTAAATTTTACTTTTAGGATAAAATCAAATCGCTTCTAAAGTCTTTAAGATTATAAATTATTTTGATCTCTACTAAACTCTCAGCCAGAATAATCTCTCAGTTCCATTGCACTTACCTCCTCCACACACTAACCCTTTCATAACCCTCATAAACATTCCCTACTGGTCACTGCTCTCAACACCAGTGACACCTCTAGCTCACTGAGCTCCAGCCAGGAGAAGGGGATGAGGAGGTCCCTGTACCATGGCTCATACAAAGCAGACTGCCCACAAATCCACTGGTGGTAAAGCACCCAGGAAACTGGCTGCAAAAGCCACTCATAAAAGTGCACCCTCTACTGAAGGGGTGAAGAAACCTCATGGTTACAGGCCTAGGACCATGGCGCTCTGTAAAATTAGACATTATCACAAGTCCACTGAACTACTGATTCACAAACTTCTTTTCCAGCATCTACTGCGAGAAACTGCTCAGGACTTCCAAACAGATCTGCACTTCCAGAGTGCAGCTATTAGTGCTTTGCAGGAGGCAAGTGAGGCCTATCTGGTTGATCTGTTTGAAGATACCAACCTGTGCACCATCCATGCCAACCATGTAACAATTATGCCGAAAGATATCCAACTAGCACACCACATATGTAGAGAACGTGCTTAAGAGTCCACTATAGTGGGAAACATTTCATTCTCAAAAAATTTTTTTTCTCTTGTTATTGGTAGTTCTGTGTTAAGAGTTTTTTTTGTCCTCCATGGGGTCAAAAGGTAACTAAGTATATGACTGCGAGTGGAAAACGGGATGGAAATCAGGTATTGGCAGTTTTCCCATTTTCATTTATATGTGAATTTTTATTAATGAAGGTATGTAAAGCATTAATGCAAATCAAAATGTTTCAGTGAACAAGTTTCAGTAGTTTAACTTTGTAACAACAAATAAATCTGTTAAATTTTTCTGGACAATGCCAGCATTTAGATTTTTTTAAAACAAGTAAATTTCTTACTGATGTCAACTAAATGGTATTTGTAGCATTTTTATCATACAGTAGATTCCATCCAGTCACTATACATGCTATTACATGTTTTT